ACCCAGAGTTACTTCTGACCATTGGCCAATTCAGATTAGCAAGTTTGAGCCTGGAAACAAAGGACCTTCCCCCTTCAGATTTGAGAATATGTGGCTGCACCACCCAGGCTTTAAGGAGAAAGTAAAGGAGTGGTTGAATGAAAGTAACCCAAGGGTAAATTGGGAAGGCATGAAATTCCATTGGAATTTAAAAGAATTGAAATTGAAAATTAAGGAACGGAATATTCTTCAATTTGGGAGGTTAGAAGAAAGAAAACAACAGTTGATAAACCAGATTGAGGAATTAGATGCAAAGGAAGAACTAAGTTCTTTTGGAGAAAGTGATAAAGAGATGAGGTGGGAGTTGAGGAAAAACTTGGAGGACATCCTCTTCAAAGAAGAAATTAGCTAGAGGCAAAAGTCTAGACATAAGTGGGTGAAGGAAGGATACTTGAATACAAAATTCTTCCATGCCATAGCTAATGGCAAGAGGAAGAAGAACTCCATTTCTAAGTTGGTGGTTGATGGTACAACTCTCTAACTCAGCAGACTGAGATTGAAGGGGCTTTTGTGGAACACTCCAAATCTGTTTTTAGAAGGCCCCTGAATAACAGGCTACAGATTGAAGGTTTGGAATGGCCTAGGCTCCCTGAAGAGTAGAAGGTGGGGTTGGAAAGAGAGTTTGAGTTGGAAGATACTTGAAGATATTCAAAGATTTTGAGGGCTGCCATCTTCTCTATTGATTATGGATAGATCTAAAGCTCCGGGTCCCGATGGTTTCATGATGGCCTTTTATCAAGATTGTTGGGAGATACTTGAGGATATTCAAAGAGTTTTCTCTGAATTCTTTGATAGAGGGGTGGTTAATCCAAGTCTGACTTCTACTTTTATTGCGTTAATTCCAAAAAAGGAGGGAGCTTGCCACCCAAAAGAGTCCAGACCCATCAGTTTGGTGAATAGCCTCTATAAAATCATTGCCAAGGTCCTATCTTGAAGAATTAGAGAGGTTCTCCCCGCAATCATTTCCCCCAATCAAGGTGCTTTTGTGAAGAATAGACAAATTGTGGATCAAATCTTAATAGCAAATGAAAGTGTGGAAGATTTAAAAAGAAGTGAGAAGAAAGGGCTGGTGTGTAAATTGGATCTTGAAAAGGCATATGACTTTGTAGATTGGTCTTGTTTATTGGAAGTCCTTAAGTGTCTCGGTTTTGGACAAAGGTGGTGTAATTGGGTGAAAGGGTGTATTAGGACTTGCCATTACTCCATTCTAGTGAATGGTAAGGTGATAGACCACTTTCCAGCTACTAGGGGTATTAGGCAAGGGGACCCCCTTTCCCCCTTCCTATTTACCTTGATTGCTGAAGTCCTGGGAAGACTTATTGAAAGGGCATATTCTAGGAGCTTGGTGAGAGGTTGGAGAATTGGAAGGGATAGTGTTCTAGTCACACACTTACAATTTGCGGATGATACAATTCTTTTCTGTGGTGGGGATGAGATTAGGTGGGCTAGTAATCTCAAGCAGGTGATCAAGGTGTTTGAACAAGTGACTAACCTTAAAGTTAATTTTGATAAAAGTTGCATGATTAGTATCAACATGAGTTTGAGATAAGTGGAAGAAAGGGCTCAAATTTTGGGGTGTGAGATTGCGCAGTGGCCATTGAAATATTGGGGGCTTCCACTAGGCAATAATCCGACGAAAAGGAACTTTGAATCCAGTGATTGATAGATTCACCAACAGGTTAGCTTCTTGGAAGAAAAACTACCTATCTTTGGGTGGTAGGATAACTCTGATTAAGTCCACATTGGCTAATCTCCCAGTTTACTTCCTGTCTGCACTTAAAATTCCTGTGGGAGTGTGCAAAGTTTTGGAAAAATTAATGAGGGACTTCCTATGGCAACGAGGGAAGGAAAAAAGGGATCATAAAGTTAGGTGGGATATTGTTACCAAATCCAAAAGTGATGGAGGGCTCGGATTGGGTAATTTACAGAAAAAGAATGAAGCTTTACTGGGAAATGGCTATGGAGATTGACAAAATAAAGGGATAATATGTGGGCTCAAGTAATTCTAAGTATCCATGGGCAAGCAGCGGATGGATGGGATGTGGGAGTCTCATTGAGGGCTACAAGTGCTTCCCCTTGGAAGTCAATCAATGCTATTTTACCCTCATTCCTTCCACTCATCAGGTATGACGTTTGTTTAGGTAATTCTGTGAAATATTGGGAACATACTTGGGTAGGAAACTCACCTCTGAAAGAGCAATTTCTAGCTTTGTTTTCCCTCTCGAGTTTTAAAGATGAGCCTGTTTCCACCTTTCTATCCCCTACTTTGAACCTGGGTTTTAGAAGGGCCCTTAGAGATTCCAAGTTGAACACCTTTTCTGATTTGCTTAAGATCCTGGATGAGGTGGTTATTGATCCCTCTAGAAGGGATAATAGGATTTGGGTTCCTTCCCCCTCAGGTGTCATTACTTGCTCTTCCTTTTTCAAAGAGTTAGCCCAGTACCAACCGGCTTTCGAACACTCTTTTCTAGTCTTGGAAATTTGGGGTAGACCAATTCCTCCCAGAGTGGGTTCTTTTTGCTAGGAAGCATTCCTAGAAAAATTTAACACTTGCGACTTACTTCAAAGGAAAAGGCCATATTGGTGCTTGTCCCCACATTGGTGCATCCTATGTAAGGAGAATGGTGAGAGCTGCTATCACTTAATGGTTTCCTATCCTTTTGTATCAGAAATCTGGTGCTGGTTTTTTCTCTCTTTGGTTGCAAGTGGTTCTCTCCTCCATGTGTGCAGAGCTTGTTTAACATTATGTTAGTGAGAGGGTTAAAAAAGAGAGGTAAATTTCTGTGGAGATGTGTAAGAGCAGCAATATGTTGGACAGTGTGGGAGGAAAGAAATCAAAGAATCTTCCTTGAAAAAGAAAGAAATAAGGAAGCTATCATTGAAGTGATTTCTATTAGGGTGGCTCATTGGGTTAAGACCTTGAAGCTTTTTGAAGATTACACAGCAGGAGATATCATTAAGAACTAAAGCAGTGGCTTGGTTAGCTCCCTTGAAAACTACCCCTTCTCCAATTTGGGCTCCTCCACCCTTGGGTTACACTAAATTGAACTTTGATGGAAGCAGCTAAGGAAACCCAGGTCCTTCAGGTATAGGTGGAGCTTTCAGGGATGAAGAAGATCAAATTATTGCCATGTATTCAGGGCCTATTGGGTGGGGGGATTCTCTGAGGGCTGAAATACTGGCAGTCTTGGAAGGGATTAAAAGAGCACAGCAGCTGAATATCAGAAAACCGGTGGTGGAAGGTGACTCTAGCTTGGTTATTAGGTGGCTGCAGAAGGAAGACTTCAGTTTGTGGAAATACTTAAATGAGAAAAAGAAAATTAAACGTCTGATTCAAAACATGGAAGTTCAGTTTCAGTGGACTAAAAGGTGTGCCAATTCCTTGGCAGACTCTTTGGCTAAGCAAGGGGTGGGAAGAGCTATTCTTTTCTGGGAAGCTTTGTAATATGAAGTAAACTTTCAGGGAGGGTTAAGAGATTTTACCCCTCCTTCCTGTTGTATCCTCCTTTTTAATCTCTTTATTAATAAAAGTTTCTGTTATTGACCAAAAAAAATGGCTAGCACTTTTTTTATGTTGTTGCTTGTACACATGGCTTCAAATGTCGCTAATGTCGCCCGACATATGTCAATGTCGAGGCTCACCGACATGAAAATGGATGGTAATATAAAATTTACATTATTTCGGTTGACATTTCCTATATTTCAGAAATGTTGACCAAATCAGTCCAAATAACCAAAAAAAAAGACAGTTTTTCCTATTATGTCAACTAATGTACATTAATAATATAATATATTAGTATATTATATTATTATAATACAGTATATTAATATAAATTAATCCATTAATAATTTCTATTTAATATTTCAAATAGAATATTTATAAAAAAGAACTAACAAAATATAAAAACAAAAGAATAAATTAATTACTGTATAATATAAAATATAAAATATTTTTCAAGTAATAAAATATTAACTAGTTAGTATTTTTTAAAATATTTATTAAAATCAGAAAATGTTTATTAAATTTTATAATAAATCATATTCTACATTTAATATAAAAAATCAGAATAAATTTATTAAATTTTATACTAAATCATAATTTATTATAA